CCAAGCAAGTCATCTTATACACATGTTGAGGGTTTCTGTCCCCAGCATCACACCGGACAGCAATTCCAGATATCCACCAACTTTTCCTCACAATTCCTCTAATCCTTCTTAAAAAAAAAAACCATACACTCAGTGCCCCATGGTAATTGACCTTTCAATTAGGGAGAAGAGTTTTCAAACTACTCTGTCTAGCCCTCTCATAATTGTATACACCTCAATTAAGTCACCTAGCAGTCTCCTCTGTTCCAAGGAAAACGACCTTAGCTTATCTTTCCTCATAGCTGCAATTCAAAGCCTCACGATATTTGTGTAAATCTCCTGTACTCTCTTCAGAGCGATTGTGTCCTTCCTGTAATGCAGTGACCAGCTGTGGCCTAACCAGGGTTTTAAATAGTTCTAGCATTACATCCCTGTGTTTGTATTTCACACCACATCCAATAAAGGAATGGTTGCTATATTCTGACATTAGCACCTTGTCTATATCTGTCACCTTCACAAACCTGTCCACGGTCTCTCACTTACTCTACCCGTCTCAAATAAACTCCCGTTATGGTGTATTCCCTTGTTTGGTTTGCCCTTCACAAATGCATAACTCACGTCCCTGGATCGAATTACATTTGCTACTTTGCTCCCCACTTAGCCAAATCATTTACATTACGTTGGAGTCAACAGTTAGGTTCTTCAGTATCAACTACACAGAAAATCTAATGCAAACCATTAAACATATACAACAACACTAAGGGATCCAACACTGACCCCTGTTGAATGCCACTGGAAACCATATTTATTTGTAAAATTTCAATTCATGGGAGAAGATGGCCTAGGGGCATTGCTTTTAGACCATTAATCCAGTGTACCTGATAATGTTCTGGGGACCCAGATGCAAATCCTGCCACGGCAGATATTCAATAAAAATCTGGAATGATGAATCTAATGATGACCATGAATCCATTGTTGGAAAGACCCATCCTGTTCACTAATGTTCTTTAGGGAAGGAAACTGCTGTCCTTAGTTGATCTGGCCTACGTGTGACTTCAGACCCATAGCAAAGTGGCTAACTCTTATCTGCCCTCTCGGCAATTAGGGATGGGTAATAAATGCTGGCCTAGTCAGCGATGCCCTCATCCCATGAATGAATAAAATAAGAAAATGACAATTACCCTTTGTTTCCTGTCACTGAGCCAAGTATGGATCTAATGCACCACATTTCTCAGAATCCCATGGAATTTTACTTTTCTTGTCAAATGCCTTACTAAAATCCACGTGACAACAGCCACTGGACCACCCTCATCAATTCTTTGTTACCACATCAGAAAATTCAATTTAGTCAAGCACAACCTTCCCTTTACAAATCCATGCTGACCCAAATTAATCCATGCCTAAATAACAATATACCCTGTTGCTCAGAATTAATTCTAATAATTAGCCCGACCAGCCTATCCTTAGTTACCTTTTTAAGGTGAATGGCACAAGTTTCACAAACCTCTGATACATTACTTGTTTCTAGTGAGAACTGGAAAATGATCATCACAGCATCCACCATCTTCTCCCTAGCATTCTTTAACAGCCTGGAATACAATGCATTCAGCTTTGGTGTTTTATCCATGTTCAAGGATGCCAAACTCTCAGTACTGCCTCTCTCATTATACTTCTTATATTTCTAATATTTCTCACTCCTCCTCTTTAGCCAGAATATTTTCATCACCCCTCTTCTTTGTGAAGACAGAGACAACACTCATTAAGAATTCTGCATCTTCTGTATCTAGGCCTAAAAGCTAATTATACATCTTTGATGGGCCCAATGCAGGTCTCACTGCTCCTGCACACATTTAAAAATGGTAGTTTATCTTATACTCTCTCTACACTTCTCCCAAAATGTATCATCTCACAATTCTCCGCAATGAACTTCATCTACCATCTGTCCACTTACTTCACCAATGTGTCAATATCCTTTTGATGTTCTACACTGTCCTCCCTTCAGTTTGATGCCTTTTTCAATCTGAAAACTCCTCTCAGATTCTACTGGCGATTCAGGTTGGCAATTAATCAAGTGACCTAGAACACACAAAATGTCATCTCACTGATGATCATGTCAAGTCTGTCACAAAAAGGCTGTATTTTTTCAGAAGCCAACTCAATATTTAAAAGTCTCCAAACATTAACTCACCAGAAATTAAGACACTGCTTGGCAATTAGACAACTGACAATTGTGTCACTGTTGTGTTACTGCTTGAATTGCTGTTTCCAAGAGCTGCCACATTTCAATTGAGCAAATGACTTGCTTCTGTGCTTTATGAAATTATGATTGATCCTATGACCACGTAATTAACTTATAAGCATCAGTAAGTGCTTTACATTCAGGTGAAATAAAGAAAAATAAAAAGCAATAAAAGGAACAGATGATTGCACGTGACTTAGGACGACTGAAAGCTTGATCCTATTAATGGACTTTGCAAAGGCTTTTTTACACTTCAGGCAGGAAGTTCCAGAGAATACAGCCAAGGCAAGGCAAGTCAAGCTTCTGTTACCAGTAGCAAGAGATAGGAAGGAGCATGGAAAATAGTTCAAGAGAACCAAAGTGGGGGTGAGCGTGAGGGAATGCAAGGTTGAAGAAGGTCACAATAGTATGGAACAAGGCCTTGGAATGAACTGAACACGTTTTAAATGCAAGTGATTGCAGGAGAAGAAACATGTGGTCAATGGGAGCAGGAATGAAAGCAAGCTAGACAGCAGATAGCCATCTTTTGGATAAACAAGAAAGTCTTGTGTTTATGTGCTGCATTTCACAACCATTACATGTCTAAGAGAGTTTTACAGCCAAAGAAATACATACCTTGAAGTACAACCACAGCTGTAATAAAGGAAATGAAGCAGTTAAAACAGCAATAGTGACCAGATGGTCTGCTTTTATATGTTAGGTAAAGATTGGCCAGGACACCAGGCATAATGCCCCAGCTCGACTTTGAAATAATGCTAACGGGAGCCTTCAACATCCACCTGAGCAGATACACGGGAAGAACAGCTGAATGTCTCATTTGGAACTCATGGGCCTGGACTTTCATGGAGCTGAAGAGACTCAGTGAACAGGTGAAAACAGTGAGTGGAAAATGATTCCAGACTTCCCAACCCCATTGCCAGCTTTGTCGAACACACAGGCATTCATTAAGATTGTTGAAACAGCTGACTCCCTGGAAAACGTTGCTGCTTTCAGAGCTCTGAACTTTTCTGTCAATTGTACAATGAAGGCGGCTTCAGGTGCTTGCAGTTTCTGCTATTGTACATTAAAGTGTCTGATGATTGACACTTATTGCCCTGCAGCAAAAAGATTTCTTTTAAAAACAAAGTGGAAATTTATCAATACTTTTATTTTAGGAAAGCTTTTCTAATCATCTCATTGTCAATGTAGGGCTCATTGATTCTATATAATGTGAGAGTGGGTTTGGAGGTGCCATAATATAATTAAGGCATGAGGAATCAATGGAAATAATTGGGTACAGGCATTGCTTAGCATTGGAGCACGAGGAGCCATGGGGTACGGGTGAGAGGCACAGCTTGACATGGCTGGTATGACGACCCATGGAACATTGGGGGAGCCAATGACATATATTAGAGGCAGGTGGAGCCATGGAGAAGTAGGAGGGGGCTTGCTAGTCATTTGGAGGCAGGTGGGGTGTCACAATAAGCCATGGGGAATGGTGAGGCCTGAATAAGGCAAGAAGAGAGCGTGGGAGTGGACTGAGAGGTTTTGAGGGGTGAGACCTAAACAACGTCATTTTTTTAAAAATATGATAACTGGAACAAAGTCCCATAGCACCAAAGTGGACCAGTTAGATAGCCCACCTCAACTCCTGGCCAGTCGCTACATTAGAATTCTTTCCGAGGTGAACTGGCCTGAGTTTAGCCCTATAGCTGGTAATAAAAATCCTGTCTTTGTGGACCCTTTTGCTCATGGGAGGTAGAAGGGTGAAGCCAGACATTTTCCTGACTCCTGCCATCCACTTTGAGGATGAAATTCCAGGCCACTGTCTCTAATTGCCTAGCACTGGCTTGTCAGGATAAACTATCCTGGAGCAGGACTTGAAACCATAATCTGCTGATTCGGATGCAAGTGTGCTACCAACTCAGCCATGACTGACAACAAGAGTTCAACAAGGCGGATGACAGAGAAGCAAAATTAAATGGAAACAGAACAGATGAGAAGGCGGCATTTACTAGGATGGATGTGTTGGATATACAGAGGGGACAATTTGCAAAGTGCAAATATGTAGCCTTGATAATGGAGAGAGTTTGGAGCTTGAAGTTCAGCATGAAGAAGGACTATGATTCTGTGCTGCCAGACTTGTCTTAGAGGGCTGACTGGGCCAGTACCTAGTTAACAAGGAAATGGAACCAAAGTGGTTTTAAAAACGTTTACAAAGAATTGAGACAATGTAGGACACATCACCTTTAATAGCCATTCTTTCAAAAGGGATTTAAATATTTCAAAAATTGTCAATATTTGAGAAGTAGGAAATAGGCAAGCAAACAGAATTATAGTCTTTCACAATCGGTTTGTCCTAAAGCACCTTGTAGCTGATGAATTACTTCAGAAATGTAATCACTTTATAATACAGGAAATGTAGCTTTATGGATGGTAAGATTTCAGACAGAGCAATATGATATCGATGAGATAATCTGCTTTTACTGATGGTGGTTGAGGGCTAAGTAATAGCCAGCACTTTAAAAATTGCCCTGGAGCGTCAGTCAAGAATCCTCAAATTCTCTGAAGCTGGACTTGAATCTTCAGACAAGGTGAAAGTGCTACTACTGAGTCACAGCTGATACCTACACTGAGATGCATGGCAATTGAAATTGTACAGTAGACTCAACGGCCAATACAAACTGCTCCTGTGTGTGTAAAGAAAATCTATTTTTTAAAAAGCATACAAGTGATTTTTTTTAGTGGGACTACTAACAATAATGTGGCATTAAAACAAACTAATAACTGGGGCAGATTTGACTTAAGTTGTTTAAACCAAGGTTTTATTCACAAGAAAATGAATGAATTTACTTTGTGTGTTTACATGGCACAATTATCAAATTATGTACATTTGTCAATGTAAGTAGAATGACTGCCCTCATACCTCACAATGGAGTTAATCTGTGCACATTTAGGAGAATTTTAAAACTTAAGGGAAAAAAAGACCAATAGTACTAAGAGTTGAGACCATTTGTAATGTGTTCTTGCTGTTTTAAGAATATCGAACTTTAAATGATACAACATTCAAAATGTTCACTGTCATATAAACAAACACTGCTAATAAAGTCAGCTTACATAGTATTTATAATACTCTTTCAGTTGTTGCACGTTACCTCAATATACAGCAGGGAAAGAATGCACATGACAGAACAAATATTGAGACCCTAAACAACTTGACATTGCACCCTACCACAGTGAAAGGGCTTAAGAAATTCATTTTGGGTGCTACTTCATGTTGCTATGTTACCTCTGGACTAAAACACATTTTAAAAAACAAACAATTAGTAAACACAAAGAAGAGGCTCTCAAATCTAATTCTGTGTCTATGGTTATATAGTATTGTGCAACAAAAGTAAAACCTCATCAAACAAAACATGTGCATTGTGTTTGTGAGGGATAAAGTACCATATTCTAAATAACACATTGGCTCTAAAGTATTAGTCGGCTATGGTAAGCAATAAATAATTACATTTGTCCGCTGTGGTTGATTCTGAGAACTCTAAATTTTCCACATTATTCCATCCACTTTTGTTCTTTGAAGAGAATCTGAATTCCTGCAGCATATTTTGAAGATGTTGTTACCCAGAGGTACACCCAAAATGCTTGATTGCAAGTCTAATTTCTTTCCTTTTGTTCCTTCCTCTAATGGCCTGTTAAGTAGTCCTGTGTGGAATCAGATGCAAAAGAGTCTGCGTCCTCATTATCAGAGTCATCGCTGCTGTCATCAGCAGCTGGCTCTCCAGTTAGTGCAATACGAGCATAATCATCAGTGTCGATTGATTTGCAGAAATGAATAGCGTACTTCAGCTTTTCCTCTAACACCTGTTTACAGGAATATCTGGGAAGCTTCAGCAAAAAGAAACAAGTGTACGATTCAGGAAGGAAGTGGTCTGGAGGGTTGTACTTGTCCAGCACCTGCCATAAATAGTGAAAGATAAAGCCAATGTTAACCATCAAATCAAACCAACACTTTGGGCAGATTTCATGCTCTCCTGCCAGCAGGTTTGCAACCAGCAGGGGAGCCCATAAAATTCTGCCCTCCAGCCCCCTTGTCTGCGCTAATTCCTTTGCAATTTTACCATGGAAGAGGCAAAGCCCAGGCCAACCAGCCTTCCCCACTAAGGCAAATTTTTTTTTTGTTGGGGAGGGAGCTGGTGACTCTGCTCAAGCCTCAGATGGGGCACATCCATTTGCAACCTCCTTTCAGTATCACAACCTGCCATAAAATAGGCCTGGGCCTATTACTTACTTGCACTCCATCTGTCCACAAGCCCAACATGCCTCACCTCCCCTCTTCTTCCCATTGTGCCTGAAGACTTACATGCTTAACTGGTCCTGAACCCCAGGAGTTAGTCCTGTCCACTGCGGCTTCTGGTAAGGCTGGGAGCTGCCTATTCCCAACTATTAGATCACAAGACCATATGAAATAGGAGTAGGCCATTCAGCCCCTCAAGTCTGCTGATCCAATATTCTTCACATCCACTTCCCTGCATGAAGATTGGCTGACAGCTCTCTGGGGCAGGACCTTCCCTCAAGTGAGATACAGAACCTCCCAGCTCCAGACAGTTAAATCTCCTTGGAGTGTCAAACTAATGCATGGTGGCCAGTATTGGCAGGAAGCAGTTCCCACCAACCCTTTGGGCAATGGGCTGGGAAAACCTGCCTTCCCAAGAATCCGGACCCCTATTCCTAACAAATTATCCTATCTGCAGACATTCAGGACTTGATTTCTCCGAATTTTCTTCTCTTCATTATCTTTGCATCAAACAGAAGATACATGTTGAGGCACATGTGCACAAGGACCGGCAGTCCTCCACCAATGTCAGTTATTCTTCATGAGAGAGCCTGACCCATGACTGCTTGTGCAGGTGGAATTACAGCCAAGGTTATTTTGTCAGAAATACATGCATACATTTTCAGCGAGTTATTCAGAGTGTAAAAGCCAAACAAAAAAAAGAGCTTTTGACCCACAGTTTATTCCTCTGGCAATCTCTGCATCTAATCACTTCACAGTCTTGCGAGTAAAGCAAAATACCTTTGTCTGCTGGATTATTGCAGGCATTTCTCACTCCAAGTAAAGGAAG